GCCGGCCCCCTCCCCCGTGCCCGCCTGGCGCTGCCGAATCCGCGCCGTTCTCCCTCCCCACGCCTTCCTCCTCGCCGCTGCAGTTCTCGCCGTCTTCTTCCTCCACGTAGTTGCTGGCTATCTGTTTCAAACAGTTCTCCCCCTGCACTGCCAAGTCCGCCCCACCGGACGCTTCATCCAACCGGTCCATCTCGCCGCACTTCCTCTCCGTCGCATCAATCACAACGTCCGCCACATCATCCCTTCCCGCAACCGGGGCCACTACCAACCGCACACCACCCACCTCCGCGAATCCGTCTACTATCCGCCTCGCTCGTACCCCTCATCACACAATCGTGTGTGCCACTCCTCCCACTTCGTACCGCTTGCTCTGAGCTCCCTCACCGGCGCGGCTTCCTCCGCCCACCCGCTCTGCACCCGTCCAGGCTTCCGCTCAATGTGCTCCGTGTGTACTCCGCTCGCTTTCCGTCCACGTTCCGCGCCAACCAGCGCAAACTTCCCAACTTATCCTCTTCGCCTCAATGTGCCCATTGCCTCTCATGCGCGTCCCTCTACTACGTGCACATCTCGCTCACAACTGCGGACGAGCTGCATCGACCACTCTCCCTCATAATCCACCGGGCTCGCGTCCCACGGGTACCGCGCTCCTCCACGCATCCCAGCTGGGCACAAAACGCCCGGACGATGCTGCCTGCACCAACCACCACATACCACCATCGTCAACATCAAGCGACCACCCTCTGCACCACCATTCCCCCTAATTTCCACCTCTGCACACCCCACCCCTGCGCCAAGAATACTCCTCAAAGCTTCTGCTTGCACACAAAACCACGCGCCAGACATCTCCGCATCCCAACACCCCAACCAGGCCCTCAAAATGCCTCCCAGTCCGCGCACCCCATCATGCTAAGCGATGACCGCAACACAGAAACTAAACAGCAAATCGCCTCTTTCTTCCTGCACACATCACCCCCCTGCTCTAGCACCACTGCTGCCGTGTTCCCTCACACGCCTTCCCGCGACATACTCCACCACGTCCAAGCCATCAAACAAGCCTCCAATCAACCATCTCACGATGCTGCAATTCCTCTCACACGCCAACAACGTCACCAGTTTCCGCACATTAGGTCACCGCAACCAATCAGACACTTCGCGTTCCGACTCTCTAGCGCAATCATGCAACCGCACCCACCCACCCGTACCAGCTCCATGCCAAATCGCCACCCTCCCACTCACATGACCATCAAGGACGCGTCCTAAGCTTGCATAACAACGTGCGCTCCTCACACAGCGAAACCGCATGTGCCCACTCACAACCCCTTCTCCGCGTGCTGCTTCGTCGACTGCGCTTTCACCAAATGTACCCGTTTGCCCCCGACTCTCGTCCCATCCTGCGCCTCTCCCACGCTCTCGCCCTCCACCATCCCAAATGCCAACCCCCCCTCGTAGCAATCCCAGCTCACTTCAACTCGCACACAACCGCTCCATCCCCCCTCACCCGTCCTACCCTCACTGCTTGCTCACCCTTCCTCTCAGAAACAGGACGTCCCCCACCACAATCCGTCGCAGGAACTACCAACACCACCCCGCCCTCGGTGCCCCTGGCAACCTTATCTACTCAAATCTCCTCAGCCGAAAATTACCCCCGCCCAGCCGTTGAAGCAGTCGCCCTACTCCCTTCCGTACACTGCCACACGCTAATCCTACTCCCGCAAGCACCCACCACGGCAGCCCTGATCATGGGAATCCGCCCCGCCCATGTAGCCATACAATTGCGCACAGAGCCCAGATCTGCGCGACAGCGGCAGCGACGCCCTGTGCGAGCATCGATGAGGAGTAGTAGTACCTGGCGCGCCGGAGTCGTTCTGGAGAGCAGCCCACACGCGATGCTCCTGCTGGACTCCCCAGCGTCATGCCCGACGGCGAACTCCCTTCTAAACCTGGTCCAGGCTTATGGGTTGGGCGCGCTCCCGAACACTCTGTGGTGCTGCCTACAGGCGACGCTAGGCGAGGCAAGCAGGGGGAGCAGACGGCGAGGAGTATAGATGCAGAGAGAGAGAAGCTCAAGGTCAGGCCCAGGCAGGGTAAGATGGAAGGCGAGGCACTGGGCGTGGAGGAGCATCGTCACTGCGGGTGACAATGCCACAGTGCCTGTGCACTCACTCAGTGTTGCTGTGAGACTGGTCTTCTTCTTCAGTGGACTCTCACTCGTTCTGTCACTTAATGGCCCCGATTCTGATCTTCGTTGGGGCTGGGGCCCTGTAGTACCTTTTCCATCCTGGTGTACGATAATGTCTTTTGATTTCACCTACCTTTCTGAATTCGTCTCTTTGTTGTTCATGCTTTTAATTATTGGTTTTTTAATATTGTTACCATTCATGTATCGATGTACGGATGTTTTTTCTTGTGCGTTTAATGTTTGTGTTCTGGGTAGTGATGATTTTTTATATATTTGATGTATTACTTATGTAAAGTATATTTAATTCTACAACTCAAAGAATTTGTTAAGATACTCTGCTGTAGATTTTTTTTTATAATATTAGATTCTTTAGCAATAATGATCTTTTGAAATTACTGTTATGGTAGTATTTAGGTTCTTTGGTCAAGATAATTTAGGAATGTTTTTTATTTTTTTGAATTTTTGGATCAGCTTATCTCTTTGCTATGGTTTATTTTATTGTTAGTATAGTCTTATCATGTACTTTTCAAATTTTCTAATGATTTTTTTTTAAAAGCTACAAGAATAATTAAATATATAGATTGTTTTATTATTAGCATCTTTTCTAATTATCTATATATATATATATATATATGTATGTGTGTATGTGTGTATGTGTATTTTGGAATTTTTTAAATGTTAATACTTGTAGTGATGCATGAAAAAATATATATATATTTATATATTTTTTCATTCTTCTTTAAGTGTATCATAGACATACATATTTATTTAGATAAGAAGTGCTAAGTAGAAGGTAAATGTAGATAGATTTGATATTATCTTGTGGCAAAGCTTTTTAAAAGATTTATAGTCACATATTTGATTTTATACATAATTATTGTTGATTGATAGATTAGAAACTTAGCCAATAAGTTAATTATGTATTACACATGTAAATAGCTTGTGGTACAAGCTAAAATTGTGGCGTGCAAAGAAGAAACTTGTTTTGTAAGTTAAGACATGTGTCTTGCAAATTGGACATATATTATAGATCTTATAGGACATCTCCACACAATTCTTAGTTGATAGTATATATAGAAGCAAGAGTAAAACCTTCTTCACTTTTGTCAATGCATTTTTAGTCTTTAATCTTTAGTCTTATTTCAAGTCTTTTTAGTCTTTTTGTCTTTGGCAATAGTCATTATAGTTTTAATATTATATTAGTTTTGAGTGAATATCTATTCTTTTAGAATTATACAAGAGTGTATTAAATTTTTGGATCTTCAAGATTCATATCCTTGATAATTTGACAAGAATTCTTATTAATTATTCTTGTCTTGTTTTTAGATGTGAGTGAACTGCCCTACTTCTATTGTTGTATTTTGAAGCTTGTGGACTATCCACCTTTAATTTAATGTTTTAGTTCCATAATAATAATTTTTTTCTAAAAGAGAGTAGATTATCCTTCTTTGTAGAAATTTCATTTTATTTTAGAAATTACGGATTATTTTCTTCTAATTTGACTTATAGATGTATTTAAGTTGTTTATGGAAGAAAACATTATTAATGCTACTCTCAACATAAGTGAAAATAGATCTACAGTTATTGTAGATGTTTACAAGCTTATCAACATTCTTACAATAGAAATCTCACATATCTCTAATGTCAACTATAGAAATAGTATTTTGATATCTATAGGAGAAATCAATAATAAAGTTTAAAATTTATGCCAAGATGTTGTGCAATTCAAAGAAGCAAGTATATCAAGTTGACAATTGAATCCAAGAAGTCTTGCTACCATAAGTATGAAAGAAATAAAGATAATTATGCCAAAGAATTTTGATGGAATAAAATCAAAGTTTTAAAGATTTTGACAATAAGTAAAGCTCAATCTAAGGTGGCAATATTTTTTAATATTCTAATGGATTTACTCAAATTTGATTCATAGTTATAATTTTATCTTAAAATATTTTTTCTTAATTTGCACCTTTGATGAAAAAAGAATTGAGTTTCTTTTATCATCTAAATTAATTCTTAGAAATATTATTGACCTTATTAAGAGAAAGTGATTGAAAAAAAGTAGTAGTGAACAAACTTGTATTTTTATGAGAAAGATCATATTCAACCACCATACATGATGTTGAATTCCAAAATCTTGCTTGCAACTTGGATTGGAATAATAAGAATTTTATCAATTAATTTTGATACATATTAAAAGATAATGTCAAAGATTTATTATTGATAATGCCAAAAGTAAAATCATTGGACTAATTTATTAATCAAGCCTTTGCATGTAATAATTGACTCTTTAAAAGATGCCAAAAATAAAGATTTAATTGGAGTGGTAGAAGTCAAGTCATGGCAATAACTTTTAATTTTTTTGAAGCTTATTCATCAAGGTTTAGAATCTATGCAAATTAACATAGTATATTTCGAATTTCTTTCTCAACAAGAAAAGACTTGATGCTATCAAGAAAGGTAGTGCCTATACTATGGAGAATCTAAACATATTACTCAATATTATCCAAAGAAGCAACACAACTACAAATAAAGAGCATGGTTGCCAAAAAAGATAATATATTAAAAAATTAGTTTCTCCAAGTACAATAGAGATTGTGCAATTGAAATTTTATACAATACCTAATAAAGATCTTATCCTCTCCTCAGATCCTTCACCTTAATTTATAATAGAAATTTATTTAGGACCAAAAAATCAAAAAGACTTAACTTTTTAAGATTCAAAAGTCTCAGCCTATTTTATAAATAAAGATTTTGTAAAAAAATAAGAAATATATTTAATTAAAAAAATCAAACATGTGCTCATAGAAATAATAGATGATCATTTGTTATCTTTTAAAGATGTCATCCATGAAACTATTTTTTTAGATGTAGCAATTAGTAGTCATAATAGCTTAGTAATATTTAATGTGATTAAATTTCCTTCTAATTCAATTATTTTAGGATTATTGTAGCAAAAAAAAATATAATCCTCAAATAAATTGGATTTTTCATAATCTAGATTTTTTTTTAGTTTAACTGAGGATTTTTTTAGTTAAATAAAAATCCATAAGTTTAATATATCCAAACCTTTATTGATAGGTGTGAGAACTTTTATGCATGTTGCAAAAAAAGGGTCAATTCTTGCTATATATGCTATACCTATTTTTGATAGAATTTTTTTTTCAAGTGGCATTCCAAGCCAATACCAAGATTATGAAGATGTTTTTGAGAAAAATAATATAGATATTCTTCCAAAGCATTGTTCTTATGATTGTTCTATTAATCTTTAAGAAAAAACTCAACTACTATTTGAACCAATCTATAGTTTTTCACAAAATAAGTTGACTATACTTAATAAGTATATTGATAAAAACTTAGCTAAAAACTTCATACACCATTCTAAATCTCTAGCATGAGCTTCCACCTTATTTGTAAAAAAAAAAAAAAAAAAGAAAAAAAAAAAGATAAATCTTTGTAAGTGTCTAGACTATCAAAGATTCAATTTGTATCAAGAATTTGGAAAATCCTTTTCAAGTTTTTAAAGATGGACATAAAACTAACTTTGGCATTTCATCTCTAAAATGATAGATAAACAAAGTATATAAACTAAGTTATGGAGCAATATTAGAAGTGGACCATCAATTATTAACAAAATAATTGGATAATTCTTTTATTATTGGCATAGTTTGCTTATAATAATATAGTATATTTTTTATACAAAAAATATATTTTTTTCTAATTATAATTATTATCTATAATTTAATACTTTTTATTTTTTAAAAGTTAATAATCCTTCAATAAAAGTTTTGGCAATTTTTTTATTTGAGCCATATATAATAATGAAGATACAATTAAAAGAAACTCAAAAAATGACAAAAGACCAATGCACATGTCTATTATAAGGAACAACTTTAATTTCATGTTGGTGACAAAGTGTAGATATTTTGTCAAAATATCAAGACTAGTTGCCCTTATGATAAGTTGGATTACCATAATCTTATAATATTTCTTATTTGTGAACAAATCAATCTAATTCCTTATCAAATATACCTATGAAAGTCTATGAAGATCCATCTTATATTCCATTTGCCTTTTTTTGAGTTATATAAGATAGTGAATATCTTGGAAAGAAGAGAAATGTTACCTCTTTTTATAGAAGTGAATAATAATTAAGAGTTTGAAGTCAAAGAAGTCTTAGACTCAAGGTGGCACCAAAATATGTTGAAATATCTTATTTACTAGCATGGATATAATATTAATAAATACACATAGGAGCCAACTAATAATCTTGCAAATATAGCAAAGAAGGTTCATGCTTTTTATTAATAACATCTATCAAAACTAAGATGAAGAATAACAAATCTTTGCTATAAAAGAAATATAATTTAAAAAAGATTACAATTTATCTTATATCTTTGTTTGTGGTTTATGTGTATTTGTAATCCTAAAGAGATAGAGAATGAACAACCAAAAAATTTAATTCAAGAGCTATCATTTGTTGACTTACCAAACAAGACATTTCAATTGTCATAAATTTTAAGATAATATAATCAAAATGAAGATCTTTAAGAGCAATAAAAAAAATCAATTATATAGTGAGATACAATGTATTTGGTATCACAACCTTGGAAGGAATCTCTAATATTTTGTGATTTTATTGGAAGAAAAAACAACTCTTAATGGTCTTAGAAATGTTTTGTTTGAAAGGAGTTATAAAAGCCTCAACAACGGCTAAATAATAATGTAGTCTTGTCATCCTAGAATGAGACATTATTGATGGTTGAGAAGACGAATCAACTATCTTCAAAGAGAACAAAGACTACAATATGTAACAAATACAATTTGCCGCATCTTAGACTTCTTCAATATATGAAAGTCCCTCCTTATAGAACTTGTTTTTAGAAGGGAGGATAATGTCATGGTGTCATATCATATAAAGTCTCGCTTAAAAATACATCAAGCACTTGATTATAGAAGGTAAAAACAATTACAATAATAAGTCTTAACAACTTTAATAGAATCATATATAAATAATAATTAAAGCTTAACAAATATAATCAAATATTGATTAAGTCCAATTAAATTTTCAAATAAATTATAAAAAAATATAAAAAAATCCTAAATAAATCTTTATTAGATTAAAATCAAAATTTAGAAAAATTTTAGAAAAATC